GGGAATGGCCACGCTGCAATCCCTTCTCCTCCATTCTCCTCTCGGGATCTTGGGCATGCACACACGCCCGCCATGAGTTTAAGCCACCAGGTCCGGGATTCGAATTGCGGTCGGCTTACATGGGAGTTCAGCGACATAACCATTATGCTAACTGCTGGTCCCTGTTTTATTTTTTTTTTAAGAATTATTTTATTGAACTTTATGTTATCTTCTTATGTATTTATTTATTTATTTGAAGAGGTTTTTGCTATAGGGTGCATGTGCTCGCTAGAGAGACAGAAAGCAAGAAATCACCCACTGGGGGAATTGCCACGCAGCAATCCCTTCTCCTCTATTCTTCTCTCAGAGAGTTTGAGTCCCAGACCTGGTGGCTTGCTTTCTCACTCTTCATTTCTCTCCGTGTGTCTCTCTCTGATCACAATGGAAGAATAATGGTAATAAATAAAATTAAAAATAATAAATCTTATAAAAAAGAAATTATGTAAAATGAATCTTGTTTTGCATAGGTGGAAATAAAAAATAACATTTTGTCCCCCCCCCCCACGCACCCATAGTAGTTCCTGAGACTAACAAGATTTTGCTATTCTTTTCATCTTGGTAAATATGTACATAAGGGAGAATGAAGGAAAATGCCCAGATGTTTTGGATCAGTGTATGAAGAGAATTATGAAGAATCACCTAATTGGCATGAGAGAGTTTGACACTCACTCCAGTAATAGAAGCAGATGGAGTTACATTATAGCAATTGTGTGGCAAAGAAAAAACACAGGGAACCAGCAGTTAGCAGAATGGTTATGTCGCTTGACTCCCACGTAGTCGACCGCGGTTCGCGTCCCGGACCTGGTGGCTTAAAACTCACGCCGGGCGCGTGTGCGTGTGTGCCCAAGATCCCGAGAGAAGAATGGAAGAGAAGGGATTGCGGCATGACCATCCCCCCTGGGGGGTGATTTCTCGCTTTCTGTCTCTTATGTCTCTCTCTGTCTGGCGAGCTCACGCGCCTTATAGCAAAAATCTCTCCAAAAAAAAGAAAAAGCCACAGATGTGGACTCTCCTGCTTAGCTTCACCATCTTGCTCCAAAATGACAAAAATAGACCAAAGAAAAGTTCAACATTTTGCTACCCATCCGCCTAGTTTTTTTTTTTTTTTAAGATTTATTTAACTTTTTGTATTATCATTATTTTAAAATTTGCTATAGGGCAGATGCAGTCACTAGAGAGAGAGAGAGAGAAGGAAAAGGGGAAATGAGAAAGCAAGCTGCCAGGCCCAGCATTTGAACTACAGTCAGCCATGTGGGAGTCTGGCACCTTAACCACCATGCCACCTGCTGGCCCCCTACCTAATCTCTCTCTCTCTCTCTCCTTTTTCCCCCCAAAATTATTTATTTATTTAATTCCATTTTTTTTGGAGAGGTTTTTGCTATAGGGCGCGTGCGCTCGCCAGACAGACAGAGACAGACAGAGAAATCACCCCCCAGGGGGGATGGCCACGCCGCAATCCCTTCTCCTCCATTCTCCTCTTGGGATCTTGGGCACACACGCACATGTGCTCGGTATGAGTTTAAGCCAGCGGGTCTGGGACTCAAACCACAGTCAACTACATGGGAGTCCAGCAACATAGCCATTACACTAACTGCTGGTCCCTCCATTTGTTATTTTTTGATTTGATGAGAGAGAGAGAGTGAGAAAGGGAAAGCAAGGAAGCAAGCTACCATGTCCAAGACTCGAACCATGATCAGCCATGTGAGAGTCCAGTGCCTTTATATACTACACCACCTGCTGGCCCCCGTAGTCTTTTTTTTAAAGCTTGTTTTTATATTTTCTCAATGAGGAAGAGAGAGGACACCCCCCAACAGCATCTCTTTTTGAAAGAGGTTTCTACTTTAGGGCATGTGTGCTCCCAGGAAGAAAGAGACAGAGACAGCGAGAGGGAAAGTAAGAAATCACCCCCCCATCCAGGGGGGATGGCCATACTGCAGTTCCTTCTTCTCCATTCTCCTTTGAGGATCTTGGGCATGCATGCACACATGCCCAGCATGATTTTGAAGCTACTGGGTCCTGGACACAAACCGTGGTCAACCATGTAGGAGCCCAGCTACATAACTGCTACACCATCTGCTGGCCCCATTCAACAGCATCTTAGCTTCATGATCCGCCCCATCATCACCTAGCCTCAGATCATGGGTACACACGCACATGTGCCAGGACTCGAATTGAGATTGGCCATGTGTGAGTCCTGCACCTTAACCACTATGCTACCTGCTGGCCCCATTATTTCTTTATTCAGTTAGGAACGGGGCCACAGTAACTCGTAAGTAGAACTTTTTCTACATTTTAGGTTATGTCCTCAGGGAACTACTAGGTCAAAGGGCTTTGATTTAATTTTTTTTTAAATTTTTACTTTTTTGCCATAGGGTGTGTAAGCTCGCTGGAGTGCGAAAACAGAGACAGTGAGAGGGAAAGCAAGAAATCACTCCCTAGGGGAACTGACCATGCCCCAGTCTCTTCATTCTCTTCCTGGGATTTTGGGCATACACACACATGCACCCAGTTTGATCTTCAAGCTGCCTGGTCTGGTACTCAGACTGCGGTTGGCCATGTGGGAGTCCAGTGCCTTAACCATTACGTCACCTGCTGGCTGTAGCAATTTGGATAGTTTAAAGAATCTTTTTTTATTATTTTATTTAAAGAAAGATTTTTTTCTATAGGGGCTTGTGCTAGTGCTTGCTGGGGAGGGAGAGAAAAAGAGACAGAAAGTGAGAAATCATGCTTGGAGGAGGGAGGATGGCCACACTGCAATCCCTTCTCCATTCTCTTGAGATTTTGGGCAGACATGCACATTTGCCCAGTGTGAGTTTGAAGCTGCCAGGTCTGGGACTTGAATCACACTTGGCTATGTGAGAGTCCAGCGATGTAACCATTATGCCATCTGCTGATCCCAGTTTAAAGATTCTCTCTCTTTTTTTTTTTTGCAATAGGGCATATGCGCTGGCCAGAAAGACAGAGAAAGACAGATAGAAAGCAAGAAATCACCTCCCCCACCAGGGGATGGGGGTGGCCACGCCGCAATCCCTTCTCCTCCATTTTCCTCTTGGGATCTTGGGCACGCACACGCGCCTGGCGTGAGTTTAAGCCACCAGGTCCGGGACTTGAACCACAGTTGGTTACATGGGAGTTCAGTGACATAGCCATCACGCTAACTGCTGGTCCCAAAAGATTCTTAATAGTTGTTGCCAAAATTCTCTGTAAAGAAGCTGATCAGATCTGACCTCCATGATTCAACAGTCTGTCTAACTTCTGGTCCAGTTGGGCAGTAGGGCATTCTGGATTACATGAGACTGGTATCCACGCCACATATCACAGATTTTTGAAGAGTTAGTTTAGTAGCTGATAATCATGAGATATTTAGAAGAAAAACACTCCCTTTTTTTGGAGATGAGAAAGTGTTGGCCTTGAGAAGCTGATATCTGCCAAAGCCACACAACTAATCTGGTGGCAGGACAAGATCTAGGACTCAGTAAGATTAGACAAAGTTTCTGCATATTTTTCAGGGCCCCTGGTACTTTAAGTCCGTATATATAGGGACTGGCAGATGGTATAATGGTTACTTGCTGGGCTGCCACAGTCGACCCTGGTTCGCGTTCCCGGCCCAGTGGCTTGAACTCACTCCAGATGCATGTGCATGCCCAAGGTCCCAAGAGGAGAATAGAAGAGGGGGGGTTACGGTGTGACCATCCCCCTTGGGGATGTGATTTTTCACTTTCTTTTTCTCTATCTCTCTCTTTCTGGTGAGTGCATGCATCCTATAGCAAAAACATTTTTTAGGGGATAAAAAAAAGACCATAAATATTTTTTTTTAAACTATTTTTTTTTAGAATTAAAAAAAATAATTATTTATTTTATTTCATTTATTCATTCTTTTATTTTTTAATTTAACCAGAGAGAGACAGAGGTTGAGAGTGAGAGAGAGAGGAAGTGAGAAAGCAAGCCACCAGATTCAGGACTCGAACCCTGGTCGGCCATGTGGGAGTGTACAGTGCCTTAACCACCACGCCACCTGCTGGTCCCCAGACCATACATATTTTTTGTTTGTTTCTTTAAAGTTCTTTTTTCTGTATTCATGATGGAGCCATGTACACATGAGCAAGAGATAGAAAGAGGAGCACCTTTCACAGAGTCTGGTCACACCGTGGTCTCCTTCCCCCAATCCTCTACCCATTAGATCTTGGAAACTCACATGCATGCCCAGTGTGTTTCAGACTGACTAGGTTGGGGATTAAAAAAAAAAAAGTATATATATATATATGTATATATATATATATATATGATTTATTTCCATTTGTTGTTACTATTTTTATTTTTATTTATTCATATATTTATATATTTATTTTTTTGGAGAGGTTTTTGCTATAGGGCACATGCGCTCACCAGACAGACAGAGAGAGACAGAGAGACAAAAAGCAAGAAATCACTCCCCAGGGGGGATGGCCACACCGCAATCCCTTCTCCTCCATTCTCCTCTTGGGATCTTGGACATGCACGCACACGCTCCTGGCGTGAGTTTTAAGCCACTGGGTCTGGGATGCAAACAGCGGTCGACTACATGAGAGTCCAGCAACATAGCCATTATGCTAACTGTTGGTCCCTATATTTATTTACTTATTGGAGAGATTTTTGTGGCAGGGCATGTGCAATTGCCAGAAAGACAGAGAGACAGAGACAGAAAGCAAGAAATCACTCCCCAGGGGGGATGGCCACACCGCAATCCCTTCTCCTCCGTTCTCCTCTGGGGATTTTGGGCATGCACACACATGCACCCGGTGTGAGTATAAGCCACCAGGTGCAGGACTTGAACCGCAGTTGACTACGTGAGAGTTCAGTGATGTAGCCATTACTCCAACTGTTGGTCCCTTTTATTACTATTTTTTAATTCAACCAGTGAGAGAGAAAGGGAAAGCGAGAAAGCTTTCCCAGGTCTGGGATTCAAATCGTGGTTGACCACATGGGGAATCCAGCGCCTTTAACCGCCGTGACACCTGCTGGCCCCTAGGTTGGGGATTACAACCACAGTTGTCATGTAGGTTCCAACTTCTCTGGAGCAGCACAGGACCATTTTTGTAAATGTTAGTTATTGTGTTGTCATTGATATGTAGGTGGACCTGTTACTAGAGAATTCTGATGGAAGGGCAGGACAGACCATCTTCTGTGATCCGTAGCATTAGCAGGAAGGGGGCTCTGCAGTAGCCCAGGGACCACTAGTCTTTCTGTCTGGTGAAAATGTGTTTTATTGTGGATTTCTTCTACCTCTAAAAATATGCCTTTAAAATGATGAAATCTGGGACCAGCAGATGGCATAGCAGTTATGTCACTGGACTCCCACATGGTCGACAGTGGTTTGAGTCCTGGTCCCAGTGACTTCAAACTCATGCCAGGCATATGTGCGTGCATGCCCAAGATACCAGGAGACTGGAGGAGAAGGGATTGTGGTGTGGTCATCTCCCTAGCCCCCGGATGATTTCTCACTTTCCCTCTCACTGTCTCTGTCTTTCTCTCCCTGGCAAGCATATGTGCCCTAAGGCAAAAAAGCCTCTCAAAAATAAAAATAAAAAATGAAATCTCAATTTGAAAACCAAAACTGAAAAAAACAAAAAACAAACAAAAAAAACCCTTAGAGATTTCCCAGCCCTGTCCTTTCATTTCTTAGCCAAGGAAGGCTTAGAGAGTCCGGTGCCCGAGCCAAAGTCACACGACTAAACAGTGTGTTCACTACATCACACCACCCACACGGACTTTCTGGGTCACCGAGCTCTTGCCGAAATTCTTCCAGGTAAGGAGTTCTGTGGAGGCTGGCACTTCCTGGTGGTAGGCTAGAGTCGGTGCAACTCCAGGAATGGCTGCGGGAGTAGGGTAACTGCCTGTCTGGGCTGGGTTGTTGGGCTTTACATTTTATTAGTCACTTGAGCAAACTGATGTGTTTGTATCCACCTGGCTCCCCTCTCCCCCCAAAAAACCTATGCAATTTAGGATCAGTATGGAATCTGTGTCTTCCAAAATCCATAGTGCAAAGTCAAGAAATAATGAAGATGATGGAGAAGCACACTTAAAATGGAAACGTGAGTATAAAATCATAGATTTTGTTAGAAAAAATGAAATCTAAAATATGTTTCTAATTAATAGTTTTAAGTACACAGCTTATATTGCACTGTTTAGAACCATAGCAATTTTCTTCCGCATTCTTTTCTTCTATTAGATCATTTTGTGTAATGGCTATGTTGCTGGAGTCCTATGTAGTCAACCACAGTTTGAGTCCCAGACCCAATGGCTTAAACTCACACCGGGCGCATGTGCGTGCATGCACAGGATCCTGAGAGGAGAATGGAGATCCCGAGAGGAGAAGGGATTGTGGCGTGGCCATCCCCCCTGGGGGGTGATTTCTCACTTTCTGTCTGTCTATCTCTCTGTGTCTTTCTGGTGAGCATGCACCCTATAGCAAAAACCTCTCTGCAAAAAAACCCCAAAAAACAAAAAGAAAGCAAGAAAAGATCATTTCATTTTAAAGCCAGTTGGTAGTGTGGCAGTTAGGGTGGTAGATCACACATGCCTGACTGCATGGTTCAAGTCCCAGACTCAGCAGCTTGAAGGGCATTCAGGGCATGTGTGTGCCCAAAATCCCAAAAGGAAAAATGGAAGAGGAGGGATTGCAGCATGACTATCCCCCATAAGGGACACTTACTCACCCTCTCCCACTCACTTTCTCTGTTTTTCTTTTCTTTCTTTCTTTTTTTTTCTTTTTCTTTTTTTTTTTCCCAGAGAGATTTTTGCTATAGGGAGTGTGCGCTCACCAGAGAGACAGAGCAAGACAGAAAGTGAAAAATCACCTGCCAGAAGGATGGCCATGCCACGATCCTTTCTCGTCCATTCTCCTCTCAGGATCTTGGGCAGGCATGCACCTGCACCTGGCGTGAGTTTGAAGTTGCCTAAAATCCTGAGAGAAGAACAGAGGAGGAGGGATTGCAATGTGGTCATTCTCCTGGGGGATGATTTCTTGATTTTTGTCTGTTTCTTTCTGTCTCTTTGGTGAGTGCACAGACCCTATAGCAAAAAACTTTCTTAGAAAGAAAATCTAAAAAAACCCCAGGAAGGTCCTTTTAACTACAACCTGGAGAAAGGTGGGGTTTTATTTATTTATTTATAACTTTTACTATAGAGTGCACTCACTGGAGAGAGAAAGTGAGAAATCACTCTCTAGAAGAGATAGTCATGCCGCAGTCCCTTCTCTTCCATTCTCCTTTTGAGATTTTGGGCACATGTGCATACCTATCTGGTATCTTTTTCAAGCCACCAGGTCTGGGACTCACACTGCCGTCTGCCACGTGTGATTCAGCAGCCTTAACCTCCATGCCACCTGCTTGCCCCAAGGAAATGCTTTTTTCATTTCTAGACTTTTTAGGAAATATTTCTATTGTGTGTGTGTGAGAGACACACACACACACACACATGAATGCATATTATATAACATGTAAGAAAACAATGTACTTTGTAGATCAATATTAACTATTAAAGAAGAGAGCATTAAATGTCACTCTCATCTATTAAATGTCACTCTCATATCTTATGGTTATTATCTTTTAAAAAAGACAATTATTTATTTAATTCCATTTTTATTATAATATTAATTATTATTTTAATTTGACCAGAGAGAGAAAAGGGAAAGTGAGAAAACAAGCCGCCAGGTCTGGGACTCAAACTATGATTAGCCATGTGGGAATTCAGTGCTCTTAACCACCACACCATGTGCTGGCCCTGTTATCTTTTTTTTTTAAGCCCGGTGAGGGCAACGTACAATGCAAGTTTATTTCAAAGAATTATTTATTTAGTCTTATTTATTATTTTGTTTAAAAAGAAAATTGCAATAGGTCATGCATGCTCACCAGAGGTGAGGGGTGAGAAAGCAAGATGCTAGATCTAGGACTCAACCCACAGTCAGCCATTTGGGAGTCCAGTGCCTTAACCACCTTGCTACCTGCTGGCCAGGTCATTATCTTTTTTTATACTATTGGGTTGTTGGAAAAGTCATGACATATTTTTCTGTGTTCTTCTTTGCAAAAGTGCATCATGACTTTTCCAACAACACGTTTCAGCTTGAAAGTTTAGAAGGATACAATGTCTGTTGTTTTTTTTTCTATAGGGCATGTGCACTTACCAGAGAGAGAGAGAGACAGAGAGAGAAAGAGAGGTAAAATGAGATATCACTCTTCTGAGAGGATCTCCACTCTGCAATCCCTTCTCCTTCAATCCTCCTCTTGGGACTTGGGGCATGCACACAAACATGCCTGCTGTGATTTTTCAAGCTGCTGGTACCAGGACTTGAATCCCTGTTGGCCATGTGAGATACCGTACCTTAACCTCCACGCCACCCGCTGACCCTTCAACGTCTATTTTTAAATACTAGTGCTAAGTGACATTAGCAGAAGTGTAGAACATTTGAAATGAAAACATACGTATATGTACACAACTCCAAGATACGAGCTCAACGTTGTCTTGAAAGACTGGACAAACTCAAGTAGGATCTTTTCTATTAGTTACTACAGACTGGGATCTTACGATGTTATTTTCTTGTTAATTCAGCAACAGAGTCCATCTACAACTTTTTCATTACCATGCCAGAATTCAGCAACAAGAACTGTTTTGGGGGCAACTAACTGAAATTCCCTTTCTTTGCTCTGTCATCAGTTCCCCCTGTCTTTCTCTTCAAGCTAAACAGGCAAGCTAAGGGTAATATGACCATGGGCCAGCAGGTGGCATGGTGGTTAAGGTGCTGGACTTCCACATGACCATCCAGGGTTTGAGTCCTGAGTCTGGTGGCTTGGTTTCTCACTTTTTCACTCTCTCTTGCTCTCTCTGGTGAGTGCATGTGTCCTATAGCAAATTAAAAAAAAATAATAATAATAAATAAAATTAAATAAATAATTCTTTAAAAATTAAAATTAACGTTTAAAAAGGTAATATAACTGTAAAAAGGCAATTATTGTTATAATATGAGTTGTAATAATATTATGTAACTTTTTTTTTGGTGGAGAGGTTTTTGTTATAGGGAGCGTGCACTCGCCTGAAAGAGAGAGACAGAGAGACATAAAGCAAGAAATCACCCCCTGGGGGGATGGTCACGCCGCAATCCCTTCTCCTCCATTCTCCTCTCGGGGTCTTGGGCATGCGTGCATATGCACCTGGCATGAGTTTAAGCCAGTGGGTCCGGGACTCGAACCGCAGTTGACTACGTGGGAGTCCAGCGACATAGCCATTATGCTAACTGCTGGTCCCTTATGTAATTCTTTAAGATGAAAGCTTTACTTTCCAGTGCTCATAGTGATGTTTCAAATGCTGCTTTCTCTTGTGCCCAGGGGAGGTAAAAGAAATAGCAGAGAAAGCAGCCACTGGGCAGCTCATAGTACCTGCTTGGCATCCTCAGAGTGGTTTGCCTTTGGAAACTAAGACTGAAAATGAGCCTCATCCCCTGCTGCAGCCCCCCATTAGGGGTCCTGAGAACATGCATTGGCAGCGAGTTGTAGAATGTCACAGTGAAAATGATGAGCCAGGAGGAAATGACAAGTCCAGCAAAAGGGACAACAATGACAGTGACCAGTATGGCAGACAGCTTGGTCCTCAAAACTTCACTGGTAAGTTCATTTGAGGGCAGTGGGAGAGGTGAGCTCTATCAGGTTTTCAGCTCTCAAAAATAATATTTCTGGGGCCAGCAAGTGGCATGGTCGTTAAAGGCGCTGGGCTCCCACATGGCTGACCGCGGTTCTAGTCCCGGACCTGGCAGCTTGCTTTCTCACTTTCTCTCTCTCTTTCTCCCCCACCAGGTCTAAGACTTGAACCACAGTTGGCCACGTGGGAGTCCAGTGCCTTTAACCACCATACCACCTGCCAGCCCCTCAAGCATCCCTCTTGAATGAGTGGGCAAACGTTTGGATGATTTAGGGCGTCAGTGTGGTGCCAGGCTAAACTAACAGTCTTCACTCTCTGGATTGAACCTAACGTATGGGACATGGCTGCCTCTTGGCAGAATACATATGCATCTCTTCTCTCACTCTATTTTTATCCCTTCTATGCAGAGTGTTACTGAATGATTTTGAGCCTAATTGTGTTGTAATCATTAGGTTTAAGTCATCTATCTCCCAGAAAAAACAAGCAGCCAGAGCATGGTGAAGTCTTTCAAGCAAGTTCTGATGCATCTCTGATCATTGAGCAGTCTTACAGCGTAAGTAATATGACCTGGAGGGTGGAGTTGAACCCAAGGACCTAATAAAGTAGAACTGAGTTGTCATTATGTAATATTATGACACCAACATGATATCTATGGTAGTTCTTTTTGGTTGGAACATGTGCTCTCATACCACTCATATGGACTAAGTAGTCTTTTCTATCTGTTTGGCACTTTTTTTTTTTTTTTTTTTAAATTTACCACAGGATGGGATCAGCAGTTGGCGTAATGGCTGTGTCACTAGATGGGTCCCATGTAGTTGACTGCAGTTTTAGTCTTGGACCCAGTGACTTAAACTCATGCTGGGCACATGTGCTTGTGTGCCCAAGATCCTGAGAAGAGAATGGAGGAGAAGGGATTGCGGCATGGCCATGCCCCCCCTGGGGGGGACTTCTCACTTTCTGTCTCTCTGTCTCTGTCTCTCTTTCTGGTGATCGCACGTGCCCTATAGCAAAAATCTCTCCAAAAAAAAAAAGTAAAAAAAAAATTACCACAGGGTGTGTGCGCTCACTGGAGAGAGAGAGAAAGAAAAAGCATGCCCTAGAGAGAATGATTGCACTATGCTCCTCCATGCTCCTTTCAGATTTTGGGCATGTGCGCATGCCTGGCATTTTTAAAAAATAGATTTATTTACTTAATTTTATTTGTTGTTATTATTTTTTAATTTGACCAGAGAGACAGAGAGAGAGAATGAGAAAGTGAGAAAGCAAGCCACCAGGTCCAGGACTCGAACTGTGGCTGGCCATGTGGGAGTCCAGTGCCCTTAACCACCATGCCACCTGCTGCCCCATTCCCCAGCATGTTTTTCAAACTGTCGGGTCTGGGACTCAAGCTGTGCCATAAGTCAGTAGCTGTGCAGTATCACCACTCGGCCTCTGCCTGATACTTTTTGAGTCACTTCAATTTAATGCATTGTGTATCTTGGAGTTTGGGGAGAACACAGCCAAGTATCAGATTTGGCTCTGGCCATTGAGCTCCCTGTCCAGTTAGGTAGACAAGACCAAGCTCAGGGCCCAACAGGTGACAGATCAGATTAGAGTAGGACAAACAAGGTTAGGGTTGTGGTGAGAGAGTCTTCACCCAGAATATCCTCTCAAACCCAAATTCAGCTCTCAGCTCAGCTGAAGGAAGGTGTTTGTGCCTGACAACTGTGTCTCAGCAGGATCTGTGAGGTCCACTCACTTCCTAGCATTTGTATTGCAGTTATAGTTTTGCTTCAGGGGTTTAACACACTCTGTACTATCATCCAGCCAGACTAAGGGGTCAGCTTTTTAAATTGTTGTTGACATTGGGCCACAGTCATTTAAAAAATATACGTAATTGAGAATCACACACATAAAAATACAATAGTGATAAACATAAGTTATTCCCAGTATCGTATTTAGTCATAGCATATGAACCACTCACAAGGGCAAGTTATTTTCTCTTTCAACTGAGGGCTGGAAGGACGTGCCATCTTAGCCACACTGGTTGGCTGGAGAAGCAGGTCTAGTCAGGGAAGTGGGGAAGGTATGGGGGAGGCCAAGTTTGTCTGACAATTTCCATTTGATATGAGAGGTAAAGCGGGGAGGGGAAGGCAAGTGTGTGGCAAAAGCAGTGTCCAAGGAACGAAGCCACAGAATCTTGGGAAGGGAATGACTGATGGGTAGGAGAGCCTGATGTTTGCCTTGTGGTAATCAGAGAGCAGAAAAGGAGGGGTGAAACAGATGCTGAAAAGAATAACTGACCGCATATACATATACACACAAACATGCACACAAATACAGACACACACAATACGCATGCACACATATATAATTTGCAAGAGGACATGTGCACTCATTTGATTAAGACAGAGAGAAGGAAAGGGAGAAAGCATCTTCCATGAGGGATGGTCATGGTGCCATCCCTTCTCCATTTCTCTTTTCACTGTTTTGGGTACACACACATATGCACCTTGTGCATTTTTCAAGCCACCAGCTGCAGGACTCAAACCTCACAGTCAGCCATTTGGGATCCAGCCACCTTAAGCATGCCACTGGTTGGCCTGACTTTTTTTGTTGTTGTTTTATCACTTTATTTGCAAACCAGCAGTTAGTTCTCATCCACATTGACTGTAGATTTTTTAAAGTAGTAGCTGGTACATAGGTCACTATAGTGCAGAGCTTGTTTCGTTTTCTGGACAACCGCACACAGATACTATATGGGACGTTCCTTATTCCTTTGGCCCAGACAGCTTTGTTGAGCCTGGTTATCAATGCGCACATCTGGAGTCCCCATCTCCTTCATGGAAAATTTCCGGATTTCTCTGAGTGCCCGAGGGCCATGTTTCTTGAAGCCCACGCCGTGGATATGCTTGTGAGCGTTAATGGTGTATTCCCAGATCACCACCTTGTTGATGTCAGAACAGCCCTTCTTCTCGCCACCCTCATTTGCAAGAGCCATTCTGCTTGGCCTAAGTTGGAAAGAAAAACTGGCCTGACTTTTTAATACTTTATTTTTAGCTCTGAAATTGCATCGCCTTTTTTTTTTTTTTAAATTTGCTAGAGGGCATGCTCACTTGCTGGGGAGAGACACCGAGAGGTGGGAGGTTGGGGGGAACAAGAAAGTATTTTCATGGAGGAGGGCCATGCTGCCATTCCTTCTCCACTTCTCCTGGGCATGCACACATGTGCCTGACCCATCTCCAGAGGGTACATGTGCATGCTAGTGGACAGAGAAAGCACCTCCCAGTGGGGCACGGCCACATTACAATCCCTGCTCCATTTCTCCATCCTGTCAGGATCCTGGGCATCCATGCACATGCACTCAGTTTGTCCTTCAAGCCACTGGGGCTGAGACTCGAACTCAACCACGATGCTATGGGGCCATCCCTGCATTGCTAATTTTTTTTTTTTAGAATTATTTTATTTAACTTTATTTATTTACTTATTTTAATTGGACCAGAGTGGGACAGAGAGAGAGAGAAAGTGGGAAAGCAAGCCGCCAGATCTGGTTGGCCACGTGGGAGTCCAGTGCCCTTCACAACGCCACCTGCCAGCGCTCCCTGCATTGCTGTTTTAAAACAATACTCGACTTGCCCTTCCCCTGTAATAACAAGCTGAGCAGTCTCAGCTTCCTCATCTGTAGAAGAGTGCCAACATACAGGCTATATCTGTGCCTGTGAAGGGTCAGGGTGTTGTAAGTTCAGACCACACACTGAATTGTCTAGGACCTTATTCCAGTCATTCACAGCTGCTTCTCCCCACCTGGAAGGCCTGCCGAGGAAAGCCACACATGCAGTCGGGGGTGCCAGCTCAGAGTGTCATATTGACTACTGGGTAATTTTAGGTAACCCCATTATTAACAGTGTATCCATCTGTTAGTGGGTTTGTTTACAGTGAACAGCAACTTAATGATTTCCTTCATTATCAATAGGATCAGTCTGTGCAATCAACTTGTTCACTAGAATCGTCTGACGACATAACAGATGAATTTTTAACTCCAGACCGTGAATATTTTTACTCCTCAACTGCTCAAGAAAACTTAGCTTTAGAGGTAAAAATCATAGTTCAGGGTAAAGTACATCTTTAACTTTCTTCATTGCCTTTTCCCCTTATAAATAGATATATCAGGTCATTTGAGAAGTCATGACATCTTTTTCTATGTTTTTCTGTGCAAAATGCATCATGACTTCAACAACCCAAATATATATGTATGCGTGTGTGTTTGTGTGTGTGTGTATATAAAATTGCCAGAGAGCACATGCACTTGCCAGAGAAGAAGAGGAAGAAAGCACCCTCCCCAATAGGGTATAGTCACATCACGATTCATTCTCCATTTCTCCATCCTGTGGGGATTTGGGGCATGCACACACATGCATGTGGCATGTTTTTCAAGTGCCGGGCCAGAATTTGAACTGTGGGCAGCCATGTGGATTCTGACTCCATTAACTACTAGATTACAGAGCTGGCCCCTTTTAAATAAATTTTATTGAGAGAAATGAAAATATACAATGTGAACTTACTGGTGATTTTCTTTTGTTTGTTTTGTAATTTGTCAGAAGACATCTGCACTGGCTGGAAAGAGATAAAGAAGGAAAGTGAGAAATTGCCCTCCCCATGACTGATAGCCACACTGCAATCCCTTCTCCTCCATTTCTTCCTCCTTTTGGGATTTTAAGCATGCATGCACACAGGCATGCACATGCACCTTGCAGGTTTTTTGAGTCACCAGGTCTGGGACTCAAACTATGCAGTCAACCATGTGGGATCTGGTTTCCTTAACCACCACTCCATTGACTGGCCCATGATTTTTTTTTTTCTTTTTTTTCTGCTGTGGGGTGCATGCAGTCAGTGGAGACAAACAGAAGGAGAGTGAGAAACTGCCCCCACTTGGGAGAGATGGCCATGCAGCAGTCCCTTTTCCTCCAGTCTCCTCTCGGGATTTTGGGCACACACATATACATGGAGAAGGGATTGTGGCATGGCCAGGCCCTCTGGGAGGTGCGTTCTCACTTTTTTAATCTCTCTGTCTCTCTTCAGTAAGTGCAAATGATCTGTAGCCAAAAAAAAAAAAAAAAAAAAAAAGGAAAAGAAAAGAAAAGAAAGAAAGAAAGGTCATGAGTAATTTCTCCCCAAATTGTGGTTTCTGCATTTTTATGGCTCTTTGCATATTTTTCCCCAAACACTTTAGTTCATGCTACATAATTCATATGCTCTTCCTGTGGGGAAAAGAGGGTGCTATGAAGATCTCAGATGTAGGGAATTAACCACAGCTTGCCAAGTTGTAGTGCTGGGATAACCAGGATTAAAGGCAAGGCTTCAGCAACAAATATGAGACTGTGGTACACCAGATTTTCTGGGAAATCTGCCTGATTTTTGCAAGAATCTAGTTGTGCAGGATATATATATTTTTTTTTTTGGAGAGGTTTTTGCTATAGGGCGTTTGCACTTGCCAGAAAGACAGAGAGAGACAGAGAGATAGAAAGCGAGAAATCACCCCCCCCGGGGGGGATGGCCACGCTGCAATCCCTTCTCCTCCATTCTCCTCTTGGGATCTTGGGCACGCACCCACACGCGCCCGGTGTGAGTTTAAGCCGCCGGGTCCGAGATGCGAACCGCAGTTGACTACATGGGAGTCCAGTGACATAGCCATTACGCTAACTGCTGGTCCCAGTGCAGGATATTTTCATTTGTAAAATGAAATCCATTGGATTCACTTACATAATTTCTATCCCTCCATTAGATTCTCTACATAATTTCTCTCTCTCTTCCCTCTTAAAGGCTGCTTTTTTTTTTTTTTAAACCATTGTAAAAGGTGGAGTGGAGGAAAGGAATATTGTACATGTCAACCACAGCATTTGACTGGTAAGAATCCCAGAATGGGATATGCATTTTGCAGGTGGTGAAATTGGCCATATGGTTACCAATCATGTCTGAAGCAGTCAGAGTCTTTGTGACTGGAGCAGCTGGCCAGATTGCTTATTCACTGTTGTACAGTGTTGGAAATGAATCTGTCTTTGGTAAAGACCAGCCCATAATTCTCATGCTGTTGGATATTATCTCCATGATGGTTGTCCTGGATGGTGTCCTTATGGAATTGCAAGACTGCCCTTCCCCTCTTGAAAGATGTCATTGTGACAGATAACAAAGTTATCAAAGACCTGGATGTGGCCATTTAGGGGGCTCCATACCAACAAGGGAAGGTATGGGGAGAAAAGGTTCATTGAAAGCACATGTGAAAATCAAAAGCCAGGGAGCAGCATTGGAGAAATATGCCAAGAAGTCAGTTACAGTTATCGTTGTAGGAAGCCCAACCAGTGCCAACTGCCTAACTACCTCCAAGTTGGCCCCATTCATCCACAAGCAGAACTTCAGTTGCTTGACTTGTTTGGATCACAACTAAGCTAAAGCTCAAATTGCTCCTAAACTTGGTGTGACTGCTGATGATGTGAAGAATGTCATTATCTGGGGGGACCAGCAGTTAGTGTAATGGCTATGTTGCTGGACTCCCATGTAGGTGACCATGGTTCGAGTTCCGAACCCGGCGGCTTAAACTCATGCTGGGCACGTGTGTGTGCGTGCCCAAGATCCCGAGAGGAAAAGGGATTGCAGTGTGGCCATCACCCCCTGGGGGATGATTTCTCACTTTTTGTCTCTCTGGTGAGCGCATGTGCCCTATAGCAAAAACCTCTCCAAAAGAATGTCATTATCTGGGGAAACCATTCCTCAACTCAGTATCCAGATGTCAACCATGCCAAGGTGAAACTGCAAGGAAGGAAAGTTGGTATTTATGAAGCTCTGAAAGATGACAGCTGGCTCAAGGGAGAATTGATCAAGACTGCTGCAGCGTGGCGCTGATGTCATCAAGGCTCAGAAACTATCTGATGTAGTGTCTGCTGCGAAAGCCATCGCTGTCCACGTCAGAGACATCTGGTTTGGAACTCCAGAGAGAGAGGTTGTGTCCATGGGTGTCAGAGGGAGAGGTTGTGTCCGTGGGTGTCACTCCTGATGGCAACTCCTATGGTATTCCTGATGATCCGCTCTACTCATTCCCTGCTGTAATCAAGAATAAGGCCTGGAAGTTTGTTGAAAGTCTCCCTGTGAATGATTTCTCACGTGAGAAGATGGATTTTACTGCCAAAGAACTGACAGATGAAAAAGAAACTGCTTTTCGATTTCTTTCTTCTGCCTCACTAGACAGTCATCGTGATGTTACTGAATGCCCTAAAGCTGAAGAATCTAAATGCTGTCTTTGATCCTAGTACCAAATAATAATAATGCTATACTTAAATTGCTTGTGAAAAACAACATGTTTTAAAGATACTGTGCTTCCTGGTACAGATTTGTTTGTGAAAAACAACATGTTTTAAAGATACTGTGCTTCCTGGTACAGATTTGTGAGTGACAGTCTATGGTTAATGCTGTTTGGACTGTGTTCTAAATAAAAATATATATTGAAATGGAAAAAAAAAAACCTAAAAAAACAAGAATCCCAGGATGCATCAAGAGTATAATTTCCATGTGTCTGGACTTCTGAAAATGCAATCAGAGCAGTTTTCCATTTTAATAGTCCTTTAAATAGTCTTTATTTTACTGTGAACAGACTAGGACATTAAGAAATCTTTAGGGGCTAGCAAGTACATGGTGGTTAAAGGCGCTAGATTCCCACATGGCTGACTGCGGTTCAAGTCCCAGACCTGGTAGTTTGCTTTCTTGCTTTCCCTTTATCTCTCTGTCTGGTCAGATTAAAAAATAATAATAGTAAATGGAAGTAAATAATTCTTTTAAAAAATAAATCTTTAATAAAATAACATACACATGTATAAAGAATGACATAAGTGTATAGCTCATGAACTTGCACAACTGAACACACTCATGTAGCCAACACTCGGATTTGGTGGATATTATTAGTCCCTAGAAAGACCCCTTGTACTTCCTTCTAGTCACTTCTGCCTAAAAGCAATCATTGTTCTGACTACTCAACTTCTAGAGTAATTTTACAGAGAGGGCCATTTTTCAACCTTCTTTGGCTTTTCTGATAAAGCTCTCAAGAGTCAGAACATCTTTGTTGGAAAATTGGGGTGAACAGGGATAGTGATATAAAGAGAGGAAGATCATATGATCACTCCTCACAGTGGATAGTCAGGAAGGGCTTATTGTTGAGGGATACATTTAGCACAAATAGATGCTTAATGTCCATGAAGTAGTTTGTTCTTTGTCTATAAAAGATGCAGGAACCTGATGAAGATTTCCAAGTTTTAAAAACATCAAGGTACTGTGCTCTCGTGACCTTTTGGTGTTGTGTCTGCTGGGGAACCTTCTTCCTTTGCTTTTTCTTCATTCTTTTTTAGACCTCCAGTCCCATAGAAGAGGACTTTGAAGAAACACAAGGTGCATGTGCCCAGCCTCTAGACTCTGGTAATAAGCCTTCAGAACAAATCCCTTTCCGAATCACTTGCCTGTACGTTTGTTGAATCACAGATATTTAGAGCTGGAAGGGTCCTTTGAGATAATTTCATCATGGCCTTCCGTTTTACAGATGAGAACACTGAGGCTTAGTGTTTTCCTTAGTATTCTCTCTCTGTTAGAATGAGGCCCCTGGTCCTCACCAGCTTTGTGACATCCACACTCTGGTTTATTTACACCTCCCCTTGCATTTCTGTAGTGTGCCCTGTGGTGGCTGCAGCTTTATTCTTCCTTTAGTCGTCCACTAGATGTCAGGCTCCTTGATGGCACTTAGCAGCACTCAGTTCTTTGCTGAGCTGGCCTGAGGAATCTGCCCAAGCCATGAATACAACAGAAATTCAGATCAGGCTTTTGTGTCTTTCTCCACCCCAGGAGACAGAGTTGCACCATCATTTTTCATTGCTGGTTTAACATCTTAGCAAAGAGTTAACAGCCAAGAGTGCAGACTCAACTTAATTCTCTTGGGAGACCTTGGGTTCTATATCACATAACGGGGGCTTTCCATGACATGAGACGTGAACCTTTGATCGGCAGCCAGGGTCGTGGCTTAGACAAGATAAACAAATTGTTGGTTCTATATAGACATTGTGTATTACTGTTCTTTTAAGGCATGCTTTCTCTCCCCCCCACCCCCCAGAGATGCATGTGCTTGCCAGAGAGAGACAGAGAGGGTGGGGGAGAGGTCCAAGCACTACCATGGGGCATATTCATGTTTCAGTCCCTTCTCTTATCTCTCCCTTTTGGGATTTTGAACATGACCCCACACATGCCCGGCATGTTTCTTAAGCCTTTGGGTTCAGGTCTTAGGCCACGTAGTTGGCCATGTAGACTCAGCTGCCCTAACCACCAGGACTTGGGGCTGGCCCACTATCTCCTTTTTTTTTTTTTCTTGGAGAGGTTTTTCTATAGGGCAAGAAATAACCCCCCAGATCTTGGGCATGCACTCATATGCGCCCGGTGTGAGTTTAAGTCACCAGGTCCAGGACTCCAACCACAGTCAACTACATGGGAGTCCAGCAACATAGCCATTATGCCAATTGCTGGTCCCCCCACTATCTATTTTAAAACCAGAGTTAGCCATCTACCAAGCAATGTGTTGGGTTGTCGGAAAAGTCATGATGTATTTTTTCTATGTTTTTCAATTCAAAAATGAATCACAACTTTTCTGACAACCCAGTAGCTGTTCTTATCATGTTTTAGCACTGAATCCAGACAGATTCTGGGGTTCTGAACTTCTTCCCTTCCTCTCACTGTAGGCTCTGGCTTCCAACTCTAACTTGATTCAGGCCTCAGCTGGAATTGCAAGTATTTTAAGAAGCTGTAAGCTTTGAGATGAATAGTTAAAATTTCTCAGGATAATAAGTACTAAAAGTCTGCAGGGCGTTGGGTCACTGTTTCCTCCTACAGGGTCTTTGCCTATAGCTCACTTTCTGTGAGCCTGGCTGGTACATGGCCGCTTTCTGTGAATGTGGAAGAGAGTTGAATGAGATGGAGAAGTTGTAGGACAGGCAGGCCAGACGTCAGAGCCAGATTGATGCAGACATCTGAATGACATGAAAAAACCTCTGATCTATTTTATTCCATTATTTCAGTCCTCCTCTGCCCCTTTTTCATTTAGTGCTCTGATATATTTCCCCTTCCACACCAAGCGGTGCTTGAGGGGTACCTTGGGGGAGGGTTTTTCTAGGCCCCATTCTGCCACTGATTTTTTTTTTTTTTTGGCATAACCTTGGGCGAGTCACTTTATCCCGGACCCCCACTCTCCCCTCACAAAGTAAAGGAAGGGTCCAGACTCTAAAAATCTCTTACGTTCCCCTCCAGCTCTAAATTATGCTTATTAGGAATTAATTTATGTTTTCTAAAAGTGTTTATCATTTTAAAAGAGGGTCACAGGAAGAGGGACCTCCACATCTCTTCTCAGAGGGGTGGGATCTCAGAGCTGCTAGGTACCTCTGAAGGGCATTTCTGGTGCCTATCAGGCCACACAGACCTAAGGAATGGGGTGGGATGGGGAAGTCACGAGTGTTTGGAAATAGGGCAGACTACTCTGTGTGCCCCCTTCTCATAGGGCAGTTGCCACCACGCTCCACCTGTCTGCCTCCTTCCCTATAAACTAGGACAGCGTAATGATGGGAAGGAAAATGTGTTACTGGCTGTCTGCCTACAGGTACCAAGCGTCTTACTGAGAATTGGAGAGGGCTAAATTCACTGATGCCAGGGAAAATACTGGGTAGTTGGGAAAGACATGACACATTTTTGCATAGGAAAACATAGAAAAAATACATCATGACTTTCCTGATGACCTAACAGAAGACAGTTGGATTAGCTCCTCAGTGCTCAAGATGCCACTCTTTCGATGGCGGTTATTGGCCAAGAGGCAGTTAGCACTCTGAGAATGCCCAGCTAAAAGTCTCTTCTATTTGGAATCTTCAGTGAACAAACAGTTCTTGGTTTCAGCGCCCCCTGGTGTCTATTGACAGGAACTGGACCAGTTTGCCTTCTTGAAAAGACAAAACAACATTTGTCTCCAGAAATAACTGTGTGGTTATAACTGAAAGGCTAATAAATAGTTTGATTGTATTCTGAGTGTCAGAATATAGTTCTCCCCTCTGAGCAAGAAAAATAAATGTTCAGAGCAAAAACCTCTTCTTTAGCACCCAGTCCAAACCCAATTAGGGAAGTGCTTTGTTTAGATTATTTCTCATTCTGGACTAGACCAAGGGAAACTCTAGGGAATGAAAATAACAATATGGGTTGGCAAAGATTCAGTAAAAAGGTACATTTGCTTTATTCTTTCAGGAGAGAAAAAGTTCCAAATGAGAACAGTCCTTAAGAAGAATGCTGGGATTTTGACCAGGTCTCAGTTTCAACCTATACAAAGGTATGGGCTGTTATTATCTCATTAACAGTTTCAGACTCAGAAACAATGTTCAGTGGTGATAATGTCGCAGATAATGCTTATCCTCAAATGTATTAGCCACTATTTTACAGGAATGAGCTCTGGGCAGCTCAGCTTTGTTAGGATTTATTCCGCAAAATTCTAGGGGTAGTAAAAAGGAATCATCATCCATATTCACATCCTCTCTGCCTTTCTATCCGTGTGTCCTTGGTCAAGCTTCTCAACCCTTCTGTTGTTTCCCCATCTGTAAAATAGGGATAAAAGTCCTGGGCCAGCCAGTCGAGTGGGAGTTAAGGCAGTTGAATCTGATATGGCTGACTAAGCTATTTGAGTCCTAGACCTGGCAGCTTGAAAAATGCACCAGGCGTGTTTGCACAGATTCCTAAAATCCCTAGAGGAGAATGGAGGAGAAGAGATTGCAGTGTGATCCCCTTGGGGGTGATTTCTCGCTTTGCCTCTCTTTCTCTTTGTTTGTCTTTCTCTGCCGAATACACGTGTCCTATAGCAAAAAAAAGAAAAAAAAGAAAAAAATCCTCACTGGAGATATTACTATATACATCATAAAATAATTAAAAACTATTATTTAATTTTATTAATTGTTATTAATATTAAATTTGCTATAGTGCATGTGCACTCACAGGGGTGTGGGAAGTGAGAAACCAAGCTGCCAGGTTCAGGACTCGAAATGTGGTCGACCATGTTGGAGTCCAGTGCCTCGACCACTACACTACCTGCTGGGTCCATAAAGTGTATTTCATTCTTTTTTTTTTTTTTTCTTTTTCATCAGAAATTTTTGCTATACGGCGCGTGTGCTTACCAGAGAGACAGAAGGAGACAGAGAGGCAGAGTGAAAAATCATCCCCCATGTGGGACGACCATCCCGCAGTGCCTTCTTGTCTGTTCTTCTCTTGGGATTTTGGGCATGCACATACATGCATCTGGTGTGAGTGTCAAGTCTCTGAGTCTGGAACTTGAACTGCAGTCGGCCATGTGGGAGTCCAGTGATGTAATCATTTTGCCTTCTGCAGATCCCTGTAAAATGTATTTCTTACAACTACCTGTGGATCTATAATAATTTAAAAACAAAAGTTTAAACAGTAACAATGTAGGGACCAGCAGTTGGCATAATGGCTATGTTGCTGGGCTTTCATGTAGTCGACTGTGGTTCGAGTCCCGGACCTGGTGGCTTAAACTCATGCCAGGCACGTGTGCGTGTCCAAGATACCAAGAGGAGAATAGAGGAGAATAGAGAAGAAGGGATTGCGGTGTGGCAATCCCACTCTGGGGGTGGTTTCTTGCTTTCTGTCTCTCTGTCTCTCTCTGTCTTTCTGACGAGTGCACATGCCCTATAGGAAAAACCTCTCCAAAGGAAAAAAATGTAATAATGTAAAGTGAATGACATAACAACATTCAATTCATGTTTTTCTCTCTGGTCCTCCATTTCTTCAATTATAATAATTACAGCTAATATTTCCTAAATATCTAGCATATGCCAGGCATTCTTGTTTGTCTAATTTAATTCATTTAACAACTCTCTGAGGTACATAAAATTGTGTCCACTTTGGCAATAAAGAAAAACAAAGTTTAGAGAGTTTGAAGTATTTTTTTCTAAGGTCACACACCTAGTTAGTCAGGATAGACTAGATTATACTACATAGCAATCCTAAGGTTTCAGTGGTTTAAAACAACAAACATTTGTTTCTTACTTATGGTCTATGCCTCTGACTCATGGGTTGGTTAGCGGTATTGTTTTTTAAGGGTTTTTCTTTGCTTTTTTTTTTTTCTTTCTTTCTTTTTTTTTTTATTAAGAGAGATTTTTGCTATAGGGTACGTGTGCTTTCCTGAGAGATAGGAAGTGAGAAATCACTCCCCTCCAGGGGGGATGGCCACACTGCAATCCCTTCTCCTCCATTTTCCTCTCGGGATTTTGGGCATGCACGCACACATGCCTGGCATGAGTTTCAAATCACTGAGTCTGGGACTCAGACTGCAGTCTACAGGTGGGAGGAAGTCCAGTGACGTAACTATTATGTTATCTGTTGGCCCCAAGTTTTTTTTTTTTTTTTTTTTAAGAATTACTTTATTTAAGTTTATTTATTATTATTATTTAATTTGACCAGAGAGAGACAGAGAGGGAAAGTGAGAAAGCAAGCCTCCAGGTCCAGGACCTGAATTACAGTCAGCCACATGGGAGTCCAGCACCCTCAGCCACTGTGCCACCTGCTGGCCCCTTTAAATAATTATTTATTTTATTTTATTATTATTATTATTAAAATATTTGCTATAGGGCACATGTGCTCACTAGAGAGAGACAAAGAAAGAAAGAGAGAAACCAGGCTGCCAGACCCTGGACTTGAACCACAATCAGCCATGTGGGAATCCAGTGCCTTAACCACCACACCACCAGTCAGCCCCATGGTTACAGGTATTCTGTGCTCTGTTACCTTCTGTCAGACACCTGGGCTAAGGAGGCTCCCTTTTTGTGCTTCCTTGATTACTGAGGCAGGCAAAATGAAACATAGTGAACTGTGCACTGACTCTTAAAATTTCTTTTCTTTTCTTTTCTTTTTTTTTTTAAAGAGAGATTTTTAGTATAGCACCTATGCACTTGCCAGAGAGACAGAAAGTGAGAAATCACCCCCTGGGGGGATGGCCATATCAAAATCCCTTCTCCATTCTCCTCTTGGGATTTTGGGCATGCACACACACATGCCTGGTGTGAGTTTTAAGCCCCTGGGCATGGGACTCAAACCATGGTCAACTGCATGGGAGTCCAGCAATGTAACCATTACCTGATCTGCTGGTCTCCAACTCTTAAAGATTCTATGCAGAAGTAACTCATCACTTTCATTCATATTTCATCAGTTAAAACAAGTCACATAACCACCTGTGAAAATTAAGAGGGCCCAAAGTGCTGTGCTACTATATGCTTGGAAGGAGAAACAAACATTTTGATGAATAGAATTAATGAAGTTATAACTTGAGGCCAGCAGGTGGCACAGTGGTTAATGTGCTCTACTCTCACATGGCCAACAGAGGTTTGGGTCCTGGACCTGGTGGTTTGCTTTTGCGCTTTCTCACTCTCTCTGTCTCTCTCTCGTCAAATTAAAAAGTAATAGTAGGGGCCAGCAGGCAGCATGGTGCTCAAGGTGCTGAACTCCCACATGGCAGACCACGGTTCGAGTCACAGACCTGGTGGCTTGCTTGCCCTCTCTCTCTCTTGTGTCCTCCCTGATCAAATTAAAATAAATAAATAAATTTAAATAAAATAATTCTTTAAAAAAAGTAATAGTAACATCATGCTGGGTAAAGTCTCTTTACAATCTAAATGATCTATAGCGATTCAATGTATAAATAATAATTAAAGTTAATAAATAAAAAAGTAATAATAATAAAAAATAAAATTTATAAAATAGTTACAACTCGACTTCAAATTCTTGCTCTTTCTTTTATACCATTGGTCTTACAGGATTGTTGCAAAGATGTAAAACAGATGAAGGATTTACCAGGGGATCTGGCTTATAGTTAGTGTTCAGTGAATACTGAAATTGAATCTTTAATATAGGTTACCATAGAAATTGGTGAAGTTTGTCTTCAGTACTCTCTAATGATCCTTTTTTGGGGGAAAGCCCCTCTTGGCTTGTCCTGGTACTCTGCACCAGGCAACTGTCTCACAATTGCTAAGGCCCCCTGGCTGTGCCCCTTGCCCTAATACTCACCTCCCAGCGAGCTCCTAGACTGCTGATTTTCTCAGGAACTTGCTCACTCTCCTATAATGTCATTGCTGATTTCAGAGCAGGGTGATCCTTCGAGAGTATTTATTCACTCGGTGGGGAAGAAATTGAGGCCCAGACATGCCTGAGAACTTGTGGCCAGTTAGTAGCAGACCCAGATTTCTATTTCTATTTCTGATCACAGTGCCCTTTCTGCTGCTTCTCACACTGGGCTGATAATCCGGTCCCTTGTATCAAGTTACTGTGCTTTGCTGACAAACGAATTCATGTAATTGTTTTACTTTCTCTCTCGCAGCACTGAAGGTGAACAAGAAGAGACATTAAAAGAGTCACCAAAGGAACTGAAAGAGAAAGACATGTATGACTGCCAAATAGTTGCCTAAGGATGTTTGTATAAAGTCTTGATTTTTTTTGAGAGAGAGGTTTTTGCTATAGGCTATGTGCACTCACCAGAAAGAAGAGAAACAGAGATACAGAAAGTGAGAAATCACCCCCCCTTGGGGGATGGCCACGCTGCAATCCATTCTTCTCCATTCTCCTCTCAGGATTGTGGGCACGCATGCACACACACCTGGTGTGAGTTTAAGCTGCTGTGTCTGGGACTCGAACCATGGTGGACTACATGGGAGTCCAGCAACATAGCCATTATGCCAACTGCTGGTCCCTAAAGTCTTGATTTTATAGTAGTATAGTATTTCCTTGTTTGTAAGAATCTACATTCTGGGGCCTAGCAGGTGGCATGGTGATTATATAAGGCACTGGACTCTCAGATGGTCGAGGATGATTCAAGTCCCTGATCTGGCAGCTTGCTTTCTCACTTTCTATCTGTGTCTCTCTCTGATGAATTAAAAATCGATAATATAAATAATAAATCATTTAAATTAATTAATTAATTTAAATGATTTATTATTTATATTATCGATTTTTAATTCATCAGAGAGAGACACAGATAGAAAGTGAGAAAGCAAGCTGCCAGATCAGGGACTTGAATCATCCTCGACCATCTGAGAGTCCGGTGCCTTAATCTCTATGCCACCTGCTGGCCCTGAAATAAATTATTTTTGGAGAGGTTTTTGCTATAGGGCACGTGCGCTCAGCAGAAAGACTGAGACAAACAGAGAGACAGAAAGCAAGAACTCACCCCTAGGGGGGATGGCCACACCACAATTCCTTCTCCTCCATTCTCCTCTCGGGATCTTGGACATGCAGGCACATGTGCCTAGTGTGAGTTTAAGCCACTGGGTCCGGGACTTGAACTGTGGTGGACTACATGGCAGTCCAGCGACATAGCCATTATGCCATCTGCTGGTCCCATGAAATAAATAATTTTTTTAAAAGAAGAATCTACATTCATTCCACTTAAAATAAAGTGGTACATTTATTTATTTATTTATTTATTTATTTATCTATTTAGTTGTGATTTTCAAGTCACTGGTTCTGGGACTTGAACCACAGTTGGCAATGTGGCAGTCCAGCACCTTAACCACCATGTGGTTATTTTTATGCATAGACTTATTGTGACTGTTTCTTCTTTCACCAAAGAGCTATAATTAAATTGATGATGTGGTGGATGTGGTGCACACTTTGGCAGCACATGTACTAAAACTGGAATGATACAGAGAAGATTAATATCACCTCTGTGCAAAGCTCACGCACACAAATTCCTGAAGCATTCCATATTTAAATAAATAAATAAATAATCAATAAATTGATGTGATTTATACTTAATAACTATCTTAGAATCAAGGAATTAGTGATGATAATATGTAAGTTTATTCTCATGTTATTATATATTATGTAAATACATTATTATGTAATAGAGATTGAACCTGTTTTCCACAGAAACATCCTTTCATCTATGCAAATAGTTTACATTTTGCTGCTGATAGATGTTTAAGGTTCTCGTCTCTTATGTTTGTTCTAGTCTAGTCTGTTGCTAATAGTAGAAAACACCTGAGTCTGGGTACTAGAAAAAAATAGAGCTTTATCTGGTTCATGGTTTGGAGGTCAAAGGAGCTGCATCTGGAGAGGGCCTTGTTAGCAGAGTCTTGAAACATCACAGGGTAAGAGGGCAGAGCTTGCCTGGAGCAGAGCAGAGACTTTGTTTCCACGTCTCTCTGCTGGTCTGGTTTCCCCTCCTTATAAATTTACCATGATTTAGTGATGGGGGCTCACCGTGATACCTAATAACTTCCCCATGACCTCATCTTCCAATTCTATAACCAGATTAAATCTTCTCTTAATACATTCATCATACAACCAAATTCTAATACATGAGTTTTGGGGGGACACGTTCAAACCAAAGCAGTAGTCTCGAGTTTTTCTTTATGCTGTGTAACATATTCTTAGATACTCTCTGATTCTGGCTTATTGCCAAATAAAGTTTTCATCAAGCATATACTTAAAAAGGAGTACATTGTTTGATTTTTCTAAAAATCTTGCAATTACTGTATACTCTTAATTCTTTAGATCATTGACAGACATCCAAGATCTATCTAGTATTTCCTATGAACAGGACGGCTCTTTTAAGGAAGCTTCATGCAAAACACCCAAAATAAACCATGCACCTACCAGTGTCAGCACTCCACTCAGCCCAGGTAATTGCTCACAGGCAGCAGGAGCATTTTTTTTTTAAAGAATTATTTTGTTTAGCTTTATTTATCCATTCATTCATTCATTTTTAATTTGATCAGAGAGGGACAGAGAGAGAGAGAGGGAGGGAGAGAGAGGGAAAGTGAGAAAGGAAATTGCCAGGTCCGGGACTCAAACAGCAGTCAGCCACGTGGGAGCCCAGCTTCCTTAACCACCACACCACCTGCTGGCCCCAGGAGCATTTTTTTTTTATGGAGAGATTTTTGCTATAGGGCCCATGTGCTTGCTGGAAAGACAGAGAAAGAAGTCACTTCCCGGGGGGGTGGGGGGTAGCATGGCTAGCTACAATCCCTTCTCCTCCATTCTCCTCTCAGGATTTTGGGCATGCACTCACATGTGCCTGGTGTGAGGTTTAAGCTACCAGGTCTCCAGGACTTGAACTGCGGTCGACTACATTGGGAGTGCAGTGATGTAACCATTATGCCACCTGCTGGTCCTGAGGAGAAACATTTTAGGAGAGGAATTTACAATCCCTGCCTGTTGACTCTAGGGAGCCAGTCCATGGCATCATGACTTGGTGGCTGCTTCCTTATAGTGCAAAGATGTTTCCCTAGGGCTAAAGCTGAAGCACATAATACCATGGGAGGATAGGTAGGGGGCGTGGTGATGGTTATTAAACAGTTGTAACAAGGTTTTGGTTAGGACTGCAGTGGTAGAGACATGCAAATGAAAAGTCTACTCTGCAGCCTAAGCACTACTGAATTCAGTGCAAACACATTGGATTCTCTAGAATTTACAACCTAGCTGGGGCCAGTAGATGGTGTGGTGGTTAAGGGTACTGGATTCCCACATGGTTGGTCATGGTTTGAGTCCTGGACCTGGCAGCTTGTTTTCTTGCTCTCGTACTCTCTCTCGCTCTCGCTCTGTCCCTCTCTGTTCAAATAGAGGAAATAAATAAATAAATAATTTTAAGAAAAGAAGAAAACTTAGCACAAGTACTTTGTGATAAAACATACGTAGTTCTTGAGTCTTGCAACCATATACAGCCAATGTTAAATATCTTTTATTTATTTATTTTTTAGGTTTTTGGCATAGGGTATGTGTGCTTGCCAGAGACAGACAGAGATAAGGAAAGTGAGAAATCACCCCCATGGGATGGTTTACACTGCCATCCCTTCTCCATTTTCCTCTTAGGATTTTGGGCATGCACGCATGTGTGCCTGGGGTGATTTTCACGCTATTAGTTCCAAGACTTGAACCATGGTCAACCATGCGGGAATCCAGCACCTTAATATCCATGCCACCTGTTGCCCCAAATATTCTCTTTTTAATATCTTTATTTCCAGTTTATTTGTGGTTTAAACAATCTCCCTTTATTTCATTTTGAGGGTCAAGTTTAGAGATTTTTTTTTTTTTTATGCCTTGAGCTGTTTCTTAGCTCTTCTCAGTTATTTCAGCTTAAACAATTTGGAAAGTTTCTTGTATAAGTATAGAACTTTGTGACTTTTTGGGACCAGCAGTTAGCATAATGGCTATGTCACTGGACTCCCACGTAGCTGACCACGGTTTATATTCCGGACCTGGTGGCTTAAACTCAACTCAGGGCGCATGTGTGTGTGTACCCAAGATCCCGAGAAGAGAATGAGGAGAAGGGATTGCGGTGTGACCATTCCCCCTGGGGGGTGATTTCTCGCTTTCTGTCTCTCTGTGGCTCTCTCTCTGTCTGTGAGCACACGCGCCTTATAGCAAAAACCTCTCCAAAAAAAAAAAAAAGAAAGAAAAAGAACTTTGTGACTTTTTGTTTTGTTTTGTTTTGTTTGAATAATGTAAAAGATTCAGACACTAACTACCGTCTTTTCTGCAACAGGGTCCATTTCTTCAGCTGCCAGTCAGTATGAAGACTGTCTTGAAAATATCACATTTCAGGTTAAAACAGGATCTGCCTCTTGCTGGAGTAGTCAAGAACCTATTAGGACTTTGTCTGATAAATGCACAACTGTCCAAGAGAAAGCAAGGAGCCTGGATTCTCTCTTTACTTCCTCCCAAACTCCCCTTTCCAGAGCCACTGATCCTGTGAGTATACCAGTTCTGTATTACGTATTCGTGGAGTCAGCCTAGAGGGTTCAGTGATCTGAAGTGCCAAGATTTCTCCAAATCTATTAAGAAACCAAGAAATAGGGAACCAGCGGATGGCATAATGGTTACATCGCTGGACTCCCACATAGTTGACTGTGGTTTGAATCCCGGACCTGGCGGCTTTAAACTCACACCAGGTGCATGTGAGTGTGTGTACCTAAAATCCTGAGAGGAGATTGGAGGGGAAGGGCTTGTGGTTGGTCATCCCCACTGGGGGTGATTTCATGCTTTCTGTCTCTGTCCAGCAAGCGCACATGCCCTATAGCAAAAAACTCTCTCCAAAAAATAAATAAATAAATAGAAAAGAAAGAAATAAAACAAAGCAAGAAATTGGCTGGATTTTCTCCAGGCTTCCCTGGGGCTTCTCTTCTGAGTCTGTATTACGCGAGGCTTAAATTTTACATCCTCCTTGAAGCTTCCCCTGGTTATTTCCCTGAGAATTTTGATTGATTTCCCCTTTCTCTGAACTCCTGAGTAGCCTGCAGGAAAAATACTTATTTGTGTAATGCCTTCCTCTCCTCCTCCCCCTCTACTTGTTTCTTTTTTCCCCCTTCTTCTCTTTTATTACATACGTATAGTTTTCTTCAAGAAAACTACACCTTCCTTACATCATATTACTCATTAAAAACCTGTGGGCTGGAGACCAGCAGATGGCATAGCAGTTACATCACTGGAGTCCCACATGGCTGACTGGTTTGAGTCCCAGAACTGGTAGCTTGAAAACTGTTCTGGGCACATGTGCATGCGTGCCCAAAATTGGGGGATTTCTCACTTTTTCTCTCTCTAGCAAGTGCACATGCCCTTTAGCAAAAATTTCTCAAAACAAAAACAAACAAACAAAAAACCCTTCTGGACTGGGCCAGTCAGTGGTGTGGTAGTTAAGGTGGCTAGATCCCATATGGCTGACTGTTGTCTGAGTCCTGTACTCAGCAGCTTGCAACACACACGAGGCAATGTGTGTGTATGCACAGAATCCTGAAAGGAGAAATGGAGGAGGAGCGATTGTGGCATGACCATTCCCCGTGGGAAATGCTTTCTCATGTTCCCTTTTTCTCTCTGTCTCTCCAGTAAGTGAGTGAGCCCTCTGGGAAATTTTAAAACAGAGCAAAACATAAGAACTCATGGGCTGACCTTTCTATGGAAAAATTATTTGCTTTGGCCTTCGATAGAAAATGGATTGTGGGGGGCTGGCAGGTGACATGGTTGTTGGGGTGCCGGTCTCCCATATTGCCAATCACAATTTGAGTCCTGGACCTGGCGGCTTGCCTTCTCATTTTCCCTCACTCTCTCTCCAGTCAAATAATTTTAAAAATTAAAAAAAAATATTATTACTATTTTTTTCTTGAGAGGTTTTTGCTACAGGGTGCATGCACTCGCCAGAGAGACAGAGAGACAGAAATCAAGAAAGCACCCCCCAGGGGGGATGGCCATGCTACAGTCCTTTCTCCATCCTCCCCTCGGGATCTTGGGCACACACACACACACACACACACGCCCAGTGTGAGTTTAAGCCACTGGGTCTGGGACTTGAACCATGGTCGACCACATGGGAGTTCAGTGACATAGCCATTACGCTAATTGCTGGTTTTATTTCTATTTTTTAAGAGAGATTTATTGCTATAGGGTACATTCACTCACCAGAGAGACAGAGACAGAGACAGAAAGCGAGAAATCACCCCCCAGGGGGCATTGCCACGCCACAAGCCCTTCTCCATTCTTCTCTCGTGATTTTGGGCACATACACACATGTGCCTGGTATGAGTTTTAAGTCGCCAGGTCTGGGACTTGAAACACAGTCAACTATGTGGGAGTCTAGTGACAAAACCATTACACTATCTGCTCGTCCCTAAAATAATTATTAAAAACAAAAAAGGATTGTATAGTGTTTAAGGTTGTATAGTGGTTAAGGGACTGGACTCCCACATGGTTGACTGCGATTCGAGTCCCAGACCTGGTGGCTTGAAATTCATGCCAGGCATTTGTGCATATGTACCCAAAATCCTGAGAGGAGGAGAAATTTGTAGGATGGCCATCTCCTCTTGGGGATGATTCCTCACTTTCTTTCTCTCTCTCTCTCTCTCTCTCTATCTGTGTGTGTGTGTGTCTCCAGTGAACGTATATACCCTAGAGCAAAAACATCTCTTAAAAAAAAGAAAATGGATTGACATTTGACTCACAAGAGGATTCACTCTGGAGAAAAAGCTGTCAGGGAATTTTATACTTTAATTCAGCAAACTGTTAATTAGGTACATTCTAAGTGCCAGACACCGTGTCAGACCCTGGTCCAGAAATGTAGGTGTGAACTAGAATGCTGTAGTATCTGCCCCAAAGGAGCTCACTGCCTATTGAGAAAGACAGGCCTGCAGACAAGGCAGAGGAGGTGACGTGTGGGTGAGCTTGACTTAATCAGCAAAACAAGTGGAAATGATGGAACTGTATGTGCCTGCTTAGCTCACCACACATGTCAGTTACCGTGTTTATGTCTTGCTTGTAGAAAAGGTCATCTGCATTTACTGGGACTGGTCCCTCCAGCATTGCTAAGACATCTGACACTTCATTCCGTGCCACCCAGAAAAGGAGCCTGCCTAAAGGTACCCTGTACTTTTTTTTTTAATTGTTTATTTTATTTAGTAGTAGTATTTTAAAGTTTGCTATAGGGCATGTTTACTCATGAGAGAGAGAGTGGGACAGAGAGAGAGAAAAAGAGGGAAAGCGAGGAACCAAACTACCGGGTCCAGGACTTGAACCACGTATGAACTCCCATACATATGGGAGTTCAGCACTTTAACCACAATGCCCCTGCTGGCCCCAAGATACCCTGTTTTATTTTGTTTAAAGAATTATTTATTTTTATTTATTATTATTTTTAAATTTGGCTAGAGAGAGACAGAGAGAGAGAGAGAAAGCAAGCCACCAGAGCTAGGACTCGGACTGCAGTTGGTCACGTGGGAGTTCAGCACCTTAACCACCACACCACCTGCCAGCCCTGTACCCTGTATTTAATACCAAAATAGAAGTAACATCTGCAGGCATTTTTTTTTTTTAGAGAGAGAGATTTTTGCCATACACAGAGAGAGAGACAGAAAGAGAGAAATCACATTTGGCCACATGAGAGTCCAGCATCTTAACTGCTGTGCAACCTGCTGACCCCTGGGTATGCCAGTTTAAGGGAAGCTTAGATTCATGCTCATCAATCTTTGTTGCTACATTAAGTTGAAACAAAAATGCCATTTCCCTCTTAATTATATATATATATACCTACTGAAGAAAACTTGGAAAATAAAGAGAAGCTTGGAAAAGATAATGACCATTTTACCCTACCACAATATTTTAACCTTATGTATTATTTTGGTGCATATTTAAAAAATATTTTTTAGAAATATATAAAGTAATGTTTAGTATAGTTCAGATCACATTGTATATTAATTCTGGACTGTTTTTTTCCTTTATGTATTTTGAGGATTTTCTCTTATCATTAAAAATTATTGATAAGAGACCAGCAGTTGGAGTAATGGCTATGTCGCTGAACTCCCATGCAGTCGACCTCGGTTTGAGTCCCGGACCCGGTGGCTTAAACTCACGCCGGGTGCATGTGTGTGCGTGGCCAAGATCCCGAGAGGAAAATGGAGGAGAAGGGATTGTGGCGTGGCTATCCCCTCAGGGGGGTGATTTCTCACTTTCTGTCTCTCTCTGCCTTTCTGGCAAGCGCGCGTGCCCTATAGCAAAAAATCTCTCAAAAAAAAAAGAAAACTACTGATAAATATATGTAATATCTATATGGTAGCCCATTCTATATATGTTGTTTAACATATGTTTAACCATGTATTGAAGAGTTACATTGTTTTCCAATTGTTGCTTTTTTTTTGATAGGTTTTTGCTATAGGGTGCATGCGCTCACCAGGAAGACAGAGAGAGACAGAGAGATAGAAAGCGAGAAATCACTCCCCAGGGGGGATGGCCATGCTGCAATCCTTTCTCCTCCATTCTCCTCTTGGGATATTGGGCACGCACGCGCACGCACATGCTCGCACATGCACCCGGCGTGAGTTTAAGCCACCGGGTCTGAGACTCAACCCATGGTCGACTACATGGGAATTCAGCGACATAGCCTTTAACACTAACTGCTGGTCCCCATTTGTTGCTTTTTGTACATACATCTTTATTTGTACCTTTAAACTTTTTCTTAGAATGGATTCTTAGAAGACTATTTCTAGATCAACAAGTCTGAGAGTGTTAGCAGCTCTCAAGGCATACTGCTTTTGTTAAATTAACTTTCTTTTTTATTTTTGGAGAGATTTTTGCTATAGGACGTGTGCGATCGCCAGAAAGACAGAGAGACAGAAAGTAAGAAATCACCCCCCAGGGAGGATGGCCACTCCACAATCCCTTCTCTTCCTTTCTCCTCTCGGGATCTTGGGCACACACACACATGTGCCCAGCATGAGTTTAAGCCACTAAGTCTGGAACTCGAACTGCAGTCGACTACATGGGAGTCCAGTGACATAGCCATTACGCCAGCTGCTGGTCCCTGTTCATTTTCATGGCTCCTGTCTTTGGTATAGCTCTTGGTCAGGGGGATAGGAATTTGAGAATTATATTGAGGAGTTTTTATTAATGTCATAATTTAGCATAAAAGACCCAAAGTATGGTTGCTGCTATATATCCTGTCCTGATAATCCATAGGGAAAGGCCTCCCACTTTGTCTTTTGGTTCATTTTGGCTGGTCCAGCACCTCTATATGCCTTCAACAACTGCAATCCAGACCGGACACAAATCTTAATAAGAATTTATACCTTACCTGCTCCAAATATCCTTAGGGAGAGAGGGGCACAGGTCACACAGTACTGAGGTAAGGGCTGATGTAGGAAAGTGTTTGGGATAAAGGCCATTCACATTTCAGAAGGTCCCTCTACCAGGATTGTTACTTAAGAGGTTGTCTTCCCCCTTAGTTTGTTTCAAGATTAAGAAATCCTCAGTCAAATCCATGTGAGAGCCTAGAAAAATCCAGTTCAGGTCAAGGAAGGTGTTAAGTAATTTTCTCCTTTATCTTTTTAAAGAACTGGTAGAAGCCATCTCGCAGCGTCACATTGATGAGCTACCACCACCGTCTCAGGAGCTGCTTGATGAAATTGGTAAAATGTTCAGTACAGAATATACGCCTTGCCCCGTTAGTAACGGCACTGACCACACATGCTTTCCTTATCTCATTGTGACTGTAAAAAGCCCTGTGAAGGTCTGGTTGAATGTACAAAATTCAGGAATGGGCAGTTTTCCAATACAACAGGCCACAGCCTGACAGGGTTAAAATTGGCCTGTGTCTGTTGTTATTTCTTAAAGGGTTTATGGTAATGACTCTTAGGGGAAATGGCAACATTCAATGATTTATCATAATGAACTTTTTTTAAATTAAAGGAATTCTGTATCTTTCTAACCAAACTAGCCATCCCTTGGAGGCCTGAGGTTTGGCTGCTCAGGCCAAGGCACCTCTACTTTGAGTTTTGCCATTAGGAGGAGGTCTTAAAGGTATCGGAATTGTGGATAAGTCTTTTTCTTTGAGAGATTTTTTTCGCTATAGGGCGTGTGCGCTCGCCAGACAGACAGAGACATAGAGACAGAAAGTGAGAAATCACCCCCCAGGGGGGATGGTCACGCCACAATCCCTTCTCCTCCATTCTCCTCTCGGGATCCTGGGCACACACGCACACGCGCCCGGCATGAGTTTTAAGCCACCGGGTCTGGGACACGAACCGCGGTCGACTACGTGGGAGTCCAGCGACATAGCCATTACGCTAACTGCTGGTTCCCGATAAGTCTTTTTCTTAAGAGCAAAGAAGTCAGTGGTAAAAATCCTAATGAGATCTGAATTTTCCATTTCAGGCAGAGACTGAGCAGAACCAACACTTTTATTTCCAGCTGATTGGTTCGGGCTGCCCAGCTGGGCTGGTGCTGAATGTAGATAGTGCCTGGTTATGGAGCCATCTGGGGCGGATGGTCTGCTCCTTCAGGAAAGCCCTGACTCTGTCTTCTTGACAGCCTGGACAACCGGTCCTTCACACTCAGAGGGAAATGTATCTCATCAGACCTCTGATGGTCCAGGGCCTATTAAAAATTTCCTGACCAGCACCACTTGATTTTCAAGGTCTCTGAGGTTTTGTGTCTCAGAAGTAAGATGATGGTAAATGACAACTTCCTGCTCTGAGTCAAAAGACAGTGATCCTTTACAAGGTTTCCCATCATAATCCTCAGTCAGTCTCCTGGCATGATGAATTTAGGTGGAGCCAGTCAAAACTGCCAGAACCTTTCTTAGTTTCTCTTCTTTTCTGTAGCTGTAGGACTTTTTTAGTCTCACTGTATTCCTCCCACAGTGGCATAGAGTCATACAGGTCACGAGATTGTTGGTTCAGGTTCGTAGGGCCCACACCTACAGCCCTTCCCCTGTTTTCCACTTCTCAAGCCCCCTAGGCAGTCCTTACAAATTCTTCCTCTCTAGTCATGTTTTTTTTTTTTGGAAAGGTTTTTGCTATAGGGTGTGTGCGTTTGCCAGAAAGACAGAGAGAGACAGAGACAGAAAGCGAGAGATCACCCCCAGGGGGGATGGCCATGCCACAATTCCTTCACCTCCATTCTCCCCTCGGGATCTTGGGCACGCACACACATGCACCCGCTGTGAGTTTAAGCCACCAGGTCTGGGACTCGAACCGCGGTCGACTACATGGGAGTCCAGTGACATAGCCATTATGTCAACTGCTGGTCTCCCTCTCTAGTTATTCTTAAAATAATAGAAATCTTGAAAGTGGAGGTCATCCCACATATGTTCTTCTCTAGTAGATTCTCAGTACTGCTTGTTCTTTGGTCATGGATTAAGGGAGTACCTGTATGCTCCTTTGTAGTTTTCTTTGTTTATTTTTAATATGAGAGAGAAAGAGCGAGCGAGCACATCTGCAGTGGGGCCTGGTCACACCATAATCCTTTTTGCTCCAATTCCCAATCCTGTGAGGATACCAGGTATGTGTATGTATGTGTGATGTGTTTTTCAGGTCTCCAGGCTGGGACTAAACCTTGATTGCTATGTGGGATCTGGCTTCCTCTGCACAGCGCTTAACCTCTATGCTTTGGGGCCAGCCCCTTCTTTGCAGTTTGACCGTAGCTGATACTTTCCCAGTGGATCCTGCTCTTCTCTCTCTGCAATAACCATGAGAAACAGCTGTCTACCTCCCCTGTTTCAGCTGCTGTGTTGGCGGGCTTTCTCCTGAGCTCTGACCTCGCAGTACTGTTGTACTCCAGCGCAACCTACAGAAGCCCTCTTCTCCTTTCACTTATGAAAATTATCTGAGCCAGGTTTCTAGGTGATGTCTGCACTTCCAGTTGAGTCAGTAATTTTTCAGAAGGATAAAGGGTAGATGGCAGTTGAGTAGTTTATCCTGATGGTGGGCCTGTCTACCCAATTTTATATATTGTCACTGTTGTTCTTTTTTTTTAATTTATTTAATTTACATTTAATCACTATATGTCTTTACAGTGTACAACATTGTTCCAGCACAAATACGGTGCATACCAGTCAAGTACTCCATTGTTCTTTCCCCTAGAGACTTTTTTGGGGAGTGACCTGGAGCTGTCACCTACTCATTTGGAAGGCGCATTTCCAAAGCTCTAGGTTCTAGACAGGAACCTAAAGGGGAGGGTTGCTTAGAATCCTAGGATATAAAGTTATCTTTTCAGATTAACAAAGAACTGCTTTTAAAAAATTTTGTTTCAGTTTTTGCTATAAGGTGCATGCACTCGCCAGAGAGAGAGGGGGAATGTGAGAAATCACCCTCATGGGAGGATGGCCACACACAGTCCCTTTCCTTCTACTCCCCTTTTGGGATTTTGGGCATGCACAAACACACACACACACACACACACACACACACACACACACACACATACCTGGTGTGATTTTTCAAGTCCCCAGGTCCAGAACACGAGCTGCAGAGTGGGATGTGTAATTCAGTGCCGTAACCTCCATACCGCCTGCTGGCACAACAAGGGACTACATTTTTTTGTAAAGAGTGAGGGGACAGGGTGTCCCTGGGGACCAGCCCATGGAGTGGGGATGGGACATCTTTTTTTAAAAAAATTATTTTATTTAACTTTATTTATTATTATTATTTTCCAGTATTGGATCAGAGAGAGAAAGAGAAAGAGGGAAAGTGAGAAAGCAAGCTACCAGGTTTAGGACTCAAACCGCAGTCGGCCATGTGGGAGTTCAGCTCCCTTAACCACCATGCCACCTGCCGGCCCAAGGATAAAAATAGATTATTATCTCACTTTATATAAAATTATCTGTGGAATCTTCAAATGCCTAGAAACTGCCAAGTAGGCTGCTTCCTGTACTGTAAAAATAAAATAAATGTGCCTGCACAGAATAGGACCACACGAGCAAGTTTGGGGTGGTCTTCCTGTGCCACCTCCCACCTATCTCCTGTCTCTGCTGCTCTGGGGAATACCTTGAGGAGACCAGGCACGTAACAGATGCAAAGCAGCACACTGAGTTAGCAGATGCCTGCCTCGGTCTAATGAGCATTTCTTTAGGAACTGGAAATGATGGATAGTCTTTGCTTTCCATCTTCCCATAGACCAGGGGAAAACTATGAAAGGCCAGTAAAGACAAGAAACATTTGGATTGTTCTGATGTTGTTATGAACTATTTGAGAGAGTATGAAATAGAGTGTCAACAGCATAAACCTTAGAGCTAGACTGCCTGAATCAGATCCTAGGTCTCTCATAGCTGTGTGATTTGAGGTGAGTTCCTTAACCTTGATGAAGTTTTAGGAAAGTTCTTTAACTCAAGTTTCCTTATCTGTTAAATAGGAAGAGCAAATCAATCTCCTAGGATTTATGTGAAGATTAATTATGATCGTTAATCCTGAATTAATATCCCTCAGTGCTTTGAAACAGTATCTGCCACATAGGACTCTGCAAGTTGTTACATATTATCATTATCGTCTTTATTTTTATTTTGAGTGGTATATGGGCACGTGTGCTCGCCAGAAAGACAGAGAGAGACAGAGAGACAGAAAGCAAGAAATCACCCCTCCCCCAGGGTGGATGGCCACGCCGCAATCCCTTCTCCATTCTCTCGGGATCTTGGGCACGCACGCACGCACGGCGTAAGTTTAAGCCGCCAGGTCCGGGACTCAAACCGCAGTTGACTACATGGGAGTCCAGCGACATAGCCATTACGCTAACTGCTGGCTTATTCACCCCCCCCCCGGGGGGCTTGCTAAAATTCAGATTGCTGGACCTGGCCTGTAACCTAATGGTTAAGGGATCCCACTTGGCCAATTAAAGCCCCAGCGTTTTGAAAAACATGCTATGCATGCGGGCATGTCCAGAGTCCTGACAGGATGCAGAAATAGAGGAGAAGGGATTGTGGCGTGACCATGTCCCATTGAGGAGTGCTTTCTACCTCCTCCTCTCTCTGGCTAGTGCACACATCTTCTGGCAACCAAAAAACACATTTTGCTGGACCAGACTTCCAGGATTTCTGATTCCATAGATTTTATACGAGGCCTGAGAATATGCATTCCTAACAAGTTTTCATGTTATGCTAATGCTGCTGGTCTGAGAACCATGGCCCTAGAGAATGGTGAGATTTGCAACGTGGGTAACAGACTGTCTGCTTTGGTGTTGTGACAGAGCACTTGAAGCAGCAGCAAGATTCATGCACGGTGTTGAGTGAGACTACAGCAAGTGATCCCAGCATCAGCGCAAATGGTAAGCCAACTAGCTAGATCTTTTCCTGGGTTTTTGCTGTAGCACTGTGTTTGGCAGCACTATGATACATATGGGAAGTGCGACTTTGAGGTCAGGCTTGACTGCACTCTAATTCTTACTCCACTCGTTATTTTCATGTGACAAACTGTTTCTGAGCCTCAGTCATCCTCATCTGTAAAATGAGGATGATTCTGATCTCATCACAGATACACAGTGCCTGATACATTGTAAACTATTTGGCAAGCCTCAGTCCCCTTCACTTTATAGGATTGCTGGCAGGATGTTCAGAGCATATGCAGCATGTGTAAAATGCTTGGCATACATTAAAGGCTACATCCCTTTCCCACCCAAATTCTTTCCCAAAAAACATAGAAACATCAAACAAGAGAGAATAAAATAGTCCCCTCAAAATAAATTTGTACAGTTTGTTTTCAGGGCCTCTCATCTCTTTTATGAGCCCTTTCTTTCTCCTGCCTCCTCTGCTATTCTTGAGCCTTGGCACAGGCAAGGTTTCCTGTAGCTTCATCTGGCACCAAGAGCTCCCAAGACCCCAGAAGCAGCTGCTGTGAATACGGGCACCCTGCTGACACCACCTGGCCCCCTGCTCTCATGGGAAGAGAGGAGCTAGTTCATGGCCTTTCTCAGGAGCCTCTGATTGTCATTAATGTTTGTACTTGTTTAAGACAGGATTTCTCAAGAAATTTTTTTGTTTGTTTTAATAAAGTTAATTCTTCCCATTGTTTTTAGATCAAAGGTGCTTAGAAGAACAAGAAACTGATAGTAAAAAAGAAGATAGCAATGTACTTTGGATCAAAGAATCTGAGGATCTATGCGAAGATACAGAGAGGTAGCAGAAAAGGCTGGACTTTTGAATTTAAAACTTGTATTAGTTTGTTTTAGTGTTTTTCTAAAATTGACAAATAGGGAAAACAATGTTTTTTCCTCATAATATCTTAGTCGTGCCTGTTTCTTTTTTTTAAATTTTTTTTATAGACCACAGATTAGTTTATTTTTAACACCCATCAAGCCATGAATTCATAGGGAATAGGTTCCAGTAGCTCAGGCTCCTTTCCATTGGTTCTCACAAAGTGTGCTTCTCTGGATGGAGCAGGCTGGCGCTTTAGTTGAACCCAGGTCCCTTTCTCTTTGGCTTCTTTCTTTTGTGGGTCATTTTCCTTCACACATTTTAGGAAGCTATCTCTGCTCTTAGAATGTTTAATATGCTCAATATGCACATTGATTCTCTTGGCAATAATCTTGCCCTTAACTTGTTTGTTCACAACAATGCCAACAGCATGCTCTGGGTAACATTGTAGACTCTTCCAGTTTTCCCATGGTAACATTTGTGGGGTATTCCTTTTTGAACAGTACCCCTTCCCTTAATGTCTACAATATCACCTTTCTTGTAGATTCACATATATGTTGCCAAAGGAGCAACTCCATGTTTTCTAAAAGGCCTAGAGAACATATATCGGGTGCCTCTCCTCTTTTCCTTTGTGTTTTTCATTTTGGTTAATCTTTCCCTTTGTGTTCGTCATTTTGGTTAATTACTGGAAGATGGCGGTTCCGGCCAAAAAGTAGTGCCTGTTTCTAAAAGGTTATTTTACTTTTAAAAAATGTTCACCTGTGATAAAATAGTTTGCCATCTTAATCTTTTTAAGTGTACAGTTCAGTAGCATTAGTATTACACATTGTTGCACAACCAACCTCCAGAACTTTTTCTTTTTGCAAAATGAAACCCTATGTCCTTTAAACAGTTCCCCACTTCCCCTTCTCTCCAGCACTTGACAATAATCAGTTCTTCTTTCTGTTTCTGTGAGTTTGACTATTCTTGATGCTTCATATTCATATAAATGAAGTCATACATATTTGTGGCTGGGCTTATTTAACATAGCATAACATCTTCAAAAATCATTGTAGCATGTGTTTGGATTTCTTTCATTTCAAAGACCGAGTCACATTCTGTGGTACATATATACCACATTTTGTTTATCCAGTCACCTGTCAATGGGCATTTATGTTGCTTCCACCTTTTGGCTATTGAGAATAATGCTACTATGAACATGAGTGTCCAAGTATCTCTGAGGCTCTGCTTTCAGTTCTTTTGGGTATATATCCAGAAATGATATTATTGGATTATACGGTAATTCTATTTTTAATTTTTTTGAAGACGTGCCATACTGATTTTTTTTTTTTTGAGAGTTTTGCTATAGGGAACGTGGGCTTGCCAGAGAGACAGAGAAATAGAAAATTGCAATCCCTTTTTCTCCATTCTCCTCTCAGAATTTTGGGCACACTCTCATGCCCCTGGAAGGAGTTTCAAGCCACTGGGTCAGGGACTCAAACCATGGTTAGCCATGTGGGAATCCAGAGCCTTAACCACTATGCTACCTGCCAGCCCCATTGCTACATCATTTTACATTCTCTCTCTCTCTTTTTTTTAGAGATTTTTACTAAAGGGCACATATTTTCATCAGAGAGAAAGAAAGCAATAAATCTCTCCCGCAGGGGGGATGGCCACGCTGTAAACCCTTCTCCTCCATTCTCCTCTCGAGATCTTGGGCACACGTGCACATGTGCCCGGTGTGACTTTTATTTATTTATTTTAAAAAATATTTATTTACTTAATTTAATTAATTTGTTATTATTATTCACTTTGGCTAGAGAGAAATAAGAGAGAAAAAAGCAAGAAAGCAAGCTGCCAGGTCTAGGACTTGAACCACAGTCAGCCATGTGGGAGCCCAATGTCTTAACTACCATGCCACCTGCCGGCTCTTCCAGCATGATTTTTTTTTTAAGAATTATTTTATTTAACTTTATTTATTTATTTTCATTTGACCAGAGAGAGATGGAGTGAGAGAGATAGAGAAAATGAGAAAGCAAGCCACCAGGCCCAAGACTCAAACCGGGGTCGGCCATGTGAGAGTCCAGCGCCCTTAACCACCACACCATCTGCTGGCCCCTACCAGCATGAGCTTTTTAAGCTGCCTGGTCCAGGACTCAAACCATGGTCAAGTATGTGGGTATTCAGCAACATAACCATTATGCCATCTGCTGGTCCCCATTTTACATTCTCACCAACAGTGAGCAAGTATTCCAGTATCTCCATATCTTCCAATACTTGTTATTTTCTTCCTTTTTTGGTTATATGTGTGTACATACACACATACACATACATACATATTTATTTTTATATACACATATACATTTATATACATATATGTTTATATGTATGTGTGTATGTGTATGAAACACACTTAGTAATAGCCATCCTAGTGGGTGTAAGGTGTTACCTCATTTTGATTTTTTGTTTGTTTAAAACAGCATCTTACTATGTCACAGTCCTCTTGCCTCAGCCTCCCAGCTAGTGCATACCACCATGCCCAGCTCTTTTTCAGACAGGGTCTCCCCATGTTGCCCAGGCCAGCCTCAAGCTTGTGACCTTTCTTCCTTAGTCTCCTGACTCCTGGGATTATAGGTGCAAGCCACCATGTGCAGCCTTTAAGTTGCACCAGGAATTGAACCCAAGTCTCTCATGTAGTCCCAGCCTACAGAACACATCTTAACAGTGTGCACCACCATGACTGGACCCTCATTGTGACTCCGACTTGTAGTTCCCTAATGATTAGTGATGCTGAACATCTTTATTTTTTCTTTCCTTTTGTGAGAGATTTTTGCTATAGAGCATGTGTGCTTATCAGAGAGACAGAAAGCAAGAAATCACCCCTCAGGGGAGATGGCCATGCCACAATCACAATCCCTTCTCTTCTGCTCTTCTCCTGGGATTCTGGGCACTCGTGCACATGCACCTGGCGTGAGTTTAAAGCTGCAAGGTCTGAGACTTGAACCACAGTTGGCCACGTGGAAGTCCAGCACCTTAAATGCTACGCCATCTGCTGGCCTTGCTGAAGATGTTTTCATATGCTCGTTGACCAACTGTATATCTTCTTCAAATAAATGTCTTATTTGAGGGGCAGGGGGCATTGTGGTTAAGGTGCTGGACTCCCACATGGCCGACCATGGTTTGAGATCTGGACTGGCAGTCTGCTTTCTTACTTTCCCTCTCTCTCTGTCTCTCTCTAGTCAAATTGAAAATAATAATAATAAATAAAATTAAATAAGTAATTATTAAAAAGGAGAGATGTCTATTTGAGTTCTCTGCCTTTTTTTCTTTTTTCCTCATTTGTTATCATAACCTTTTTATGTTACATTGAATCGCATATATCTTTACAGTGTATTACATTTCTTTTTCCAGCATGATTACCATGCATATCAGTCAAGACAAAGACATTACTATCCACATCATCATCAAATAACTTTTCATCATTTTTTCCCCATATTTTATTGTCTCACTAAAGATCTTAATTAATTTAAAGACTTTCAATAGCAAGTATAGTTGATATGTACATGTTTATGAATTCATGTCTGACTTTAGGTGTGAACCTCAGTAAAGTGAACATACCATAAAGTAGCATCTTGCTGTGGCTATATAGCTTACTGCAGTTATTAAATAGGTATTAAAAGGTATTTTTTAATGCATTTTTTAAAATGGGAATAATACTTTTTTAAGAATTATTTTATTTATCTTTATTAAATTTGACCAGAGAGAGACAGTGAGAGAGAAAGAGAGAGATAGAGAAAGATGGAAAGTGAGAAAGCAAGCCACCAGGCCTAGGACTCAAACTGCAGTCAGCCACCTGGGAGTCCAGCGCCCTTAACCACCACGCCACCTGCCAGCCCCTTTTTAGTGCATTTTTTAATTTCAAAAAAAAAGTTTAGTTTTAATAGGTCAAAATCAAAAAGCGTTAAGAGAAATTTGCCTAAAACTTAAAGCCAGGAAAAAGGTTAGGATTCAGTTCAAATAGTAGGTAGATGAACCTATCAGCAGTTCAAGAGAAGACAAAAATCCTTAAATATGGAAATCAGAGCATCGAAGAAAATCAGTAATGCTTTAGTCTAAAGTCAAAAAAGTCTATCTCATTAGTTCAGGCTCACATAATCTCTCTTGAATTGAATTTGCATTGTTACTGTGGTCTGATCTTTCTATTCAAACTCTGGAAGTTAACATTCAACTCTGGACTTGTCCCTACTATTAGGCTGGACATTCTTTTGGTTGTTTCTTGTACTCTTATTTCTGTGTGTCCAAGTTCTCTGCCTTTTAAAAAAATATTTGCAATAGGGTGCATGTACTTGCCAGAGACAGAGGAAAAGTGAGATGTCACTCTCTGGAGGGGGTATGGCCATGCCACAGTCCCTTTTCCTCCATTCTCCTCTTGGGATTTTAGGCACATATGCACCCAGTGTATTTTTCAAGTCACCAGGTCCAGAACTTGAACCACGTAGTGAGCCATGTGGGATCCAGTGGCCTAACCACCTCGCCACTTACTGGCATCTCTGCCCATTTAAAAAACATTTTTCCCCCCAAGTTTTTTTTTTGCAGTTATTTTTGGGTTTGTTTTTACTTCTTTTTATTTATTTATTTAGAGCAAACTGAGGTTTCAACTTCTTTTTTTTTTTTTTTTTTTTTTTTTTGGGGGTGT